ACCGTCCGATCACCCTTGATCTTATCCATGCAGGAATCTTGGATTATCTTGAATTCTTGAATTCTTGATGGATCTAGAATTCTTGAATTCTTGATGAGTCTTGGATTCTTGAATTCTTGATGAGTCTTGGATTCTTGAATTCTTGATGGATTTTGAATTCTTGAATTATCTTGAGTTCTTGAATTACCTTGGACTCTTGAATTCTTGATGTATCTTGAATTCCTGAATTATCTTGGATTCTTTGAGTTCTTTGGCTTATCTTGAATTCTTCCCATGAGCTTTCGCCCATATGATGAGATGGGCCTCCATCAAAACCATGCACACGGGGCTGGGCTGCCTATCAGAAGTGAACATGCCGGTGTTCACTATAGGCTCCATCTGGGCCCATCTGTACTGAAAACTGACATGTTCATCTGTGATTGGTAATCCAGCCCGGTGTGCATGAAATTATCTCTGGTCAATCTACTCCTTTGAAAGAGGAAGAAGGGTAGGAARTAGGGTTAGAGATTTAACTTTATCTCTTGTTTTAGATGGCAAGATTTGACCAAATATCATTTACCTCCTTTTTGTTTGTCTTTCTATCTCTTCCTGTGTTTTCTGCCACTTCAAGTAGCTCTTAGTGGCACCGGGGGTGTCAATGGATCAGTTTTGGATTGGACCCCGTTCAGACCAAAATTAATTTAAATGGATTGAATGGACCAATAAGACATATTGAATTGGACCAGTCCAGACTTAATGGTCCAAAACATTTATTGGATTGGATTAAACCTGGTCCATCCATAACGAATTTATATTGGATTTAGTCAATATCTGGTCTATTAATAAAAGATAAGAATATTGGTATCAGTGCATCAGGTTTGAGTTAGAATTAATTTAAATTAAAATAAATTTAAACAGATTGGATGGCCCAGACATTGAACTGATCCAAAATTCTCCAAAATATTTATTGAATTGAATTGAACCTGATCCATTACAGACTCATATTGGGCTGATGTATTGGACCAAATCCAATCCAATTGATACCCCTAAGTGGCACCACTCGTCAGGAGCGGAGCTGGTCCTCCTCTTTCGTAGCCAGAACAGCAATGGTTAATACTCTTGCTGCTACAACAGCAGTTGGTTCAGCCGCGCCATCCAATCTATTGGGTCTAACAATGGGATAGTTTTGGATTTTCAACCAGTGTCCAAGTGGGATTTTTATATTTTATCCAAAAATGAAGATGTGGGGGAAATATAAAAAAGAAAAAAAATAATTTTAGATTTAATTTTGAAACTTCAAGAACATAAGAAAAACAATAGTTTTAATATTAAGAAAAATTATATAAATCACATTACATCATATGATAAATATTTCATTTTGGCTGTTGATTCACATGGTTCAACCATCCGGTCCAAATATAGCAACATTGTATCACCTATGACCTCTCAATAAACATGTCCCATCACTTCGTCCGTCTCTGTGGTTGTCAATACGTTATAAGCATAAAGCAGAACATACTGACATTCTTAGATCGATCATGCAAGAAAAGCAAGTTCTCAGAGAACAATCACCATATAACTAAAGCTTTGGTCCTAAAAATATCTCCCCATTCTTACCCATTAATTCTCACATTCAATCATTCACAAGTTTCCATAATCCTCCCAAAAGTGAGAAAAAAGCTTTGCTTCATGGCGACTATTTTCATGGTAGATAACAGAACCACGTTGCCGATCAACTGTCCTTCTCTTTCTCTCTCGTTATATATTTGTTGTGCCTGTGCCTTCATATTTACAAATCAATGAAACACCTCATGGCTTCTGTCTTCYTGTACTCTTGCAGTAACCCGAAGTGTCTCCCACCATTTTGCCAAGACGGAATAACCTCTGCAAATCCCCAAATCATCTAATCCTACCCAGTTCACCAAAGCCAAGAACATTACTGAAATGTTCATCAGTTTCAAGCTTGATCTCCATTTGGGATGAGAAAGCAGTCGTCGAACACGTAGAAGAAGAGAAACCACTCAGAGATGTTTGGCAGGAAATTCAGGGGTGTAACGACTGGGAAGGACTCTTAGATCCCATGGATCCTGTCCTTCGCAAGGAGATCATCCGATATGGCGAATTTGCTCAGGCCTCATACGATTCGTTCGACTTCAATCCTCATTCCAAGTACTGTGGGACCTGTAAATTCCAAGGTGCCCATTTCTTCGAAAGGCTCCACATGGCCAATCTGGGCTACCAGATCAGTCGATACCTCTACGCAACCTCCAACATCAGCCTTCCCAACTTCTTCCAGAAAGCAAAGATCAGCAAAGTGTGGAGCCCCCACGCAAACTGGATGGGCTACGTCGCCGTTGCCACCGACGAGAAAGAGATCGTGCGCTCAGGGCGACGTGACATCGTTATTGCATGGAGAGGCACAGTGACTTACCTTGAATGGATCCATGATCTCAAAGACATTCTTCGTCCAGCCTGCTTCGGTGGCGATCCGTCGATCAAGATCGAATCAGGCTTCTTAGACTTATACACTACTAAGAAACAAGGGTGCAATTATTGCACGTTCTCTGCTYGAGAACAGGTTCTAGCTGAAATTAAGAGATTGGTGGAAAGATACAAAGGAGATGAATTGAGTATTACAATCACAGGCCATAGCCTTGGGGCCGCGCTAGCTTTACTAAGCGCTTACGATGTTGCAGAGATGAAACTTGACGTTCGACGTAATGGGCACAGTCAGACTAGAATTCCAGTAACTGTGTTCTCCTTCTCAGGACCCAGAGTCGGAAATTTGAAGTTCAAGGAGATGTGCGATGAGCTCGGGATTAAGGTACTCAGAGTGATCAATGTGCATGATAAGGTGCCCACTGTGCCTGGTGTGATTGCAAACGAGAAATCTCAATTTCAGAAGTACATAGAAAAGGTTATCTCGTTCCCATGGAGTTACGCCCATGTGGGTGTGGAGATTGCTCTGGATCATACGAATTCGCCATTTTTGAAGTCCACGTTTGATCTGTCTTGTGCGCACAATTTGGAAGCTCATCTGCACCTTGTGGACGGATATCATGGCAAAGGACGCCGCTTCTGCTTGGCAAACAAGAGAGACATTGCGCTTGTTAACAAGAGCTCTGACTTCTTAAGGGAAGATTATGGTGTGCCGCCTCACTGGCTTCAGGATGAGAACAAGGGGATGGTGAGGAGCTCCGACGGCCGGTGGGTCTTGCCGGAGAGACCCCGGATGGAGGCTCACCCACCTGACACCGCCTACCATGTTGAACAGGTTCTCAAGGTCTTCAATTCACCGGTGGAGAAACTGTAATTTCATTCTGACCTCTGAACAGTTTATATCTCCTAACTTTCATTTCTACTTGGTTTTATTGTTATACTAGAAAAAACCAGTGCGATGCACGGATTGGTGTAAAAGATGCCAATCTTCTATAAAGGGATGGTAGATTCACTTCCTAATAAAAAGAAAATAAATTTGTTGTGAATGAGTGTAAATAATCTTATGTTTAATATATTTTTTATTTTTAAATTCCAAAAAAAAAAACAGAAAATTTGGGGGCCATAGCCCATACGGTAAGTTTGGTGGATGGGTTGGGCTATTTATGAACAAACCCAAGTTCAAATGTTCAATAAACAGCCTAGATTTACTATTGTTATTGGTAGGGGTGATCGTGGGCCAAGATGGGCCGGGCTCAGAAACTATGAGCTATGATAAGGGGTTTAGCCAGGGTCCAGGCCTGGCCAGTCCTACGAGCTGACTTGTTCAATTTGCTTTTGAGCTAGTCCAATTTCCATGTTGAATTTTGTACAACAAATCACAGGCTAAAATTTCAGAAAGAACCACACCCGGAACTGAAATTGATAGGCAAGAACTAATTTTTCGGAAGCAGAGAAGAACCTGTTCATGGATTGGGAGAATGGTATGTGAAATCAGTTAGAAATATCTAGAGACCAAAAGGATCRCCGTGAATTTTGAATCCTCTGTCTGTCATAGTGGAGAATTCTTTCTTTCTTTCTTTCTTTCTCTCTTTCTTTCTTCAAAGTATTCTTTTGAAAAACCAATATTATAGAACATACTTTGGTATAACAGAGTTGTGCTAAAGCTTTTGGATAAGGAAAAAGGGAACAGGGAGGTTTCCATAATATGCTTTCCCCTCTAAAATTTTTCTTCATTTACACTTTGAGAGTAAAGCATCTACAAGAAATACAATCTAAGATCGTCGATGGTATTCGATTGCTGTAGCTTTGCTAGAGCAATATAATAGATCTGTCGAACCCTCTCCCTGGAAAGGTTTAACAATCTTCCTATCTCCTCAAATGAACAAGGCGTCTCTCCATTTAGTCCAAAGTACAATCTCAAGATGTTTGCCTCTCTTTCACCAAGTATCTTGAGGAGCCTCTCTACTTCCTGCTTCATTAGCTGTCTATTCACCATGGTCTCTGGCGTTGTCTCCTCTGGCCCTGATATGATCTCCTTCACCATACAAATTTAAATCAATGAGTATGACAATTACTTTCTCCTGATCTCTAGAACCCATCAAATAGTCCTAATAATTTATTTGTTAATACTGCTCCAAGTACAACAAGAGTATTAAATGGGTAAGCAAAGTGGTTAAGCAAAGATGATGAACCTGTAGTTTCATACATCCATGGTCAGAGTAAGTGCGATCTACCGACATTGGTGGTCTACTTCTCTCGCAAAGGAGCGATACAGTTGAAACACAAATGCCAAGCATGTCTGCAATCTCATCATATGTGGGTACTCTTCCTAACCTCGTGCTTAAAACAGTGTTAGCTTCTGCAATCTTTGCCATCATCTCAGACACGCTTCCCTACACATGACAAACTAACCATGCATTCACTAATTACCATCCTAAGAACAACCCACAAACATATTTCACAGATCTTGATTTGGTCAGCTGAAAACACCTCAATTAGAAACAGGGATTTAATCATCAAGATGGGAAGAATTAACAATAAGTGGATAACCATATTCAACTAGTCTCAGGGTTCATTCTGATGACATCTTTATAGGCCGTTTTAGAATGTTGTAGTGATTTCAGGTGATTGATTAGACTGATAACATAAAAATAGCACAGTATCTTCCAGCTATGCTGTGACCCATTGATCTATGTCTGTGTCTGAGTGAATTTCAGTAACTAACAATCTCTTTGACATGATAATTTAAGCAAGTCATTAATGAAAATAAGGATGTTTCTAAATTGACTAGACCAATTTGTAAGGCCATGAGATAGATCAATTAGTCCATTATGATAAATTCATTTGGACTCTAAGGCCTGGATCARTGATCCTTTAGATGATTTCATGGGTTGACGCAGATTTTACATTTCCATGGAGTAACGCAAGTTAACTCAATGGCCTTCCAGTTCTTGGACCTGCCATAGAACAAGTTTAGGCCTGTATGTCAGGGATAGTGTCTGGGCCCAGCTCAGCCTAATATCTCCTATACTCTGTATTATCCCAGCCCAGCAAATTGCCACCCCCCCCCCAGGCCCCAACCTTTTCCCATTCAAAAATTGACTCGCTTGTATATCTCAAAGATGAACCACCTTTCAAGATTCTATCAAGCTCAATTGTGTGTTACTGGGTATGGGGAGTCAATAAGAAGATGAAATCCTTTTGGTTTTGGGGAGACATACATCTCAAGTGTAGTTTCATACCGGCAACCTGACCATTCTGGATTTGCTTGCTATAGCTCTGATAATAGCCTGCTTGATCCACCAGTAGACATATGTTGATAGCTTATATCCTTTTCTTGGATCAAACCTCTCCRCCCCTCGAAGAAGTCCAATGCTTCCCTCCTAATATCATGAAACAGCATTAATGCTACTACTGATTTAAGAAGCAAAGTAAAACAGCAATGTGCATTAGTTGGGACCTGGATGAGATCTTGCAGGCTTAATCCCTTGCCTTGATAACCACTGGCAATTGAGAAGATGAGTCTCCGGTAGCTGAAAACAATCCTTTCTCTAGACTCTCTTGCTTGACATAACATCTTGTCTAGAGTTGCTCCCCTCATTCCTGCTGCTTCAGCCCATTGAGACGAGGTTGGCTCATGCTCATTGGTCTCCCTAAGTCTTGTCCTGGCTGCTTCTAATCTTGCTTCCTCCTGTTAATCATAGCAATAACTCCTAGTATCAAAATTCAGGAACAGATGAGCTTTATGGAATGTGCATATTCTTGTGTACTTGGTATTTCAAATTCTGATAGGACTGACTCTGATCCAGCATAACCGGGAAACCAAGGAATTTMAGTTCAGTTTCCTATCCTGCTAGATTTTCTTTTCCCTATTTGGGCTGTCTTTATTTCAATGTAAAAAGGACAGAAAACAATTTTTTTGTCATAAAAGCCAAAAAAAATATAACTGAACTTATACAGAAAGAAAACTTTTCCAGCTATTTTGCTGTGAAACAGACAAGACTTTGACAAAAGTTTGAGCACAGCATTAAGGACACAATTTGATTAAAAACTTTGATTTGAAGAAAGAATTTCTAAGAAAGAAAAATGAGTTCACAACATGGACAATGTCTTTATATATTTTGGGTCATGTAGGAATAATTTGAACCATATGGTGAAAGAAAATAGAAAAACACAAGAAGAATATTTGGTCGACAAAATTTTCTTATTCATTCAGAGAACTTTTCCCTTCTCAGAAACAAAAATCTCTCTTTCTACAAGCAGCAAGAGCAAGTTATAGCCCCAGGCCCAGGTTAGTAATGCATTTCACTTTTTCCTTTTTTTTCCTTGCCCTCCTGTTTTTTTTTTTTTCATATATATCCTGGTTTGTTTGCTGTGCAATTTCATCCCACTGGTGCAAAAATAGGAGTGCAAATTTTGATTTGTTTTTGTTTCAGCTTTTGACTTATTTTTGTTCGCTTGAAATGAAGTAAAATAAGACCTGRAGAAAACTAAGGTAAAATCCAAAACAAAAGTGAATGACGACCCTTCAAGCTCACATTGTAGATGAATAGATGTATAGACTGTGGGCAAACCACACGCGGATAGATAGATATACACATTGCCTTAGAGTGATGTAAACAGAAATTAGAAACTGTACTGTACCTTGAGATACAGAGAAAACTCAGCCTCTTCTTTAGGTGTTAGATACATAGACCGAGAAGGCCTAAATGAACAACTTTCCATGCAATTATTGCTTAAATCCACACCTGCAGATAATTCCAAAGCCTTACTGCGTTTCTTTCTCCTACTCCTTGCAGCTCCCCCTACTCTGGTCCAATCAGCCCAATCAGATACTCGATCAAAATTTCCTGCCAACATATTGTTCCCACCAAATTGGCACTCAGTGAGCGCCAATGCCGAAGAAGCAGCATCTCTAGCAGCCTGAGCTGCAGCACTTGCGAGAGCAACTGCTTCAGCTGCAGCCGCTACAGCAAGCGAGTCGTCAGAGGCTAGGCCGAGACCACCAGGCTTGGAAGATGGAGTAGCAGAAGAGAATGATGGAGGATACWGCAAGGRTTGCAGAGTTCGGACTGAAGATGATTTGGTGGGAATGGAGTAGAGAGAGACAGTGGGGAGGGATGGAGAATGGTTTGAGGAGGAAGAGCATATAGTAGCCATAGACGTGAAGAAAGATATTGTGCTGAGATAGTTCGAAGATTTCAGTGTTGAGTCTCAGACTCTCAGCTCAAACAGATTTCAAGATATTTTCAGCGCATCGCGACAATGCTCSAGAAGATAAGGGGAACTCTACCTTCTATTCCCTCCACGCTTGTGCATGCAATTGGGTCGCTCACACCAARTTGTAGGGTGCAAATTGGGTGGGCCCAACCCGAGCGCGGACCGACCCAGCCCGAAATTGGGGCTTGGATTTTTTATCCTTGGATTTTGGGTTTTTTATTTTTTGAACTGGGTTTATTGGAAATTATTAGGGTGGGTTGAACAGTAGAGTTAAGATTTATTAAGGTGGATTGAACAATAAAAAACCCAAAAATAATTTAATCCATTGGAAATTATTAGGGATTGTACCAAAATCCCTTACTGTAGACCAAATTTCTCACCTCATTTTCAAATTTAATCCATGCAATAAAAAATAATTTCCAATTTTTGAGCTAGTTAGTTCAGGACTCAAAAATTGTGGCTGCATGGGTTTTTACTTTACATTTACTATTGTTGCATGCAAAACTGGATCAGTGTTTTGCTAATATAAACTTGATGGTTGAATAGAATGCTTGCAAACAATCAAATAAATTTTTTTCTTTCATTACGATTTTAAAATCTAATGCAAATCATCTTTCAATTCAATAGAATATATTAATTCATGTATTATGATCAAAATTAAAAATAAAATGTGATAGTTATATCAAAGTTTGAGGTTGGAACAAAGTTGGGATGGTTGTAAGCCATTTTTTAAACTATATGCTAGAGACACAACAATTAACAATTACTAAAAGCCCTCTTCCAATCATCTGGTACAAAGAATTGCAGTCTGTCCCTCAACATTGTGCAATCTGACCTAGAGGAGCACCAGCTTTTAACAATGTTTTTCAATTCGCCGTTGATTTGGTCGGCCGAATTGTAATCCGGCCAAGATTCTAGGTCTGGTTCATTCAAGACCCATCARGTGGTCAAAAATCATTGACTTGGTTAAGAATTAATCATTCGATCTAGTCGGTTTAACTGTTGACCCATTCGACCTGGTGACTGAGTCACGAATTGCACATTTAATGCATGCAAAACTTTCAGAAGCCATAATTTTGCACTTTGATGTTTGATTGAGATGTTTTATCTTTTTTTATTTTGTGTAATTTTTCGAGATCTAAGTGTCTCAAGGAGTCATAGACGCCTTTCCCCRCTATTTTCATGAAATAATCCATTTTTTAGCCTTAATTTACAATTTTTAATATTTTTATAAATAAAAAAATTAAAAACTGAATTAAAAAATATAAATTAAATATAAAATAATACATATAACATATTTATACATTATTTATTGCTAAAATATATATTTATACACATATGTACGCACATATACACATATATAATATATRCAAATATATATACTTATACACATACATGCAATGACATGGCACGGTCTGAACCATTTGACCCGACTGGTCGAACTGGTGACCTGTGCCCCGGAWGCAAAACGGTTCAGCCTCTGSTCGGTTTTTAAAACAGTGGCTTTTAATACGGCAGTTCTTTTGTCCAGTTTCTTGTCCTCCCTATCTATCTGTTARCTCAAATTGCAGTGATAATCCAATATAGTACTCTGTGATCATATATCTCACCTAAAATGCATGTTATGGTTAGTTATAGACCTCTAAAATATGTTGATGCAACTACTGATTTGTAAAATAATGTGATTGGAAATCCTACTGTTGAAGCCTGTAGATAAATTCAAGAACATATCTTTTAAAAAGTGCAGGTGTGCTTTAATCAGTCATGCAATTTACAAAAGTTCAGAAAACCAGGTCAATGTTGTATGCAAAAGTTGTGTTAATGGTACAAAGCAATTACCTGGGCCCATAGTGCAAAACACAAATCTAATTCATAAAAGTAGGGAATAAGCACAAAAAGCTATAATTAAACAGATTTATCATTCTCATTCTTACCATGGAAAAAGAAGTTCTAATGGCATTTGATGTCCACCGAGCAAGAAACTTGGCTTTGGTTACCTCCAATATCTCATCCATTTGTGAATTGTGGTTTTAATCTTTGAAAATTGGAATCACAAATTCACAATGTATAACTGTATCATCAGCTGCCCTCAATTATTCTGAAATAATATGAAATTTGGAACAGAGAATTAAATCAACCGATATCAACGACCTAGATGGTGGAGATGAAGAGCAATTTACTACTGGTAGAAGTAGCCTTAAATAGGAAAGTTCTCTTAAATCACATTCATAGCATTTGTGTTTGTTCTAACTTCATTTGATCATGCAAGAAACTCCAAGGATACCAAATACGTGAAGAGAAGTTGAAAACACATGAAAAGCGAGAAGAAACAAGCACTACTTAGTTAAATTTGGCTCGTATTAATTAAGCATCTTCCGGGCCACCACCCATTCAAAGTTTAAAAAGCAACAACTCGTATGAGGGGCTTCGTAAGTGAAAGACCGAGAGGGCATCATCACAAAAGTCTGTATCCCTTCTCTCTCTCTCTATCTCATAACTTTTGGTTCTGAGCTCTGAAATAAGATTAATGCCGTCAGTAGTTCGGATCTGGCCTGCTAGCGAGAAAATGGTTGAGTCTGGTCCGGGTCAAGATAAACCTGGTCCCAACCCAATAACTAAATGTGCAGAAAAAGTTTTGAACCAGACCTCATAGATATGGGGTCTATGATGGCAGACCCAAAATTGACCCAATTATTAAATTGACACATATAAGCATAATAATATAATAATATTATAAATATATTATGAGTTCATAGAGATTTTGCTGTTAGGAGATGGCCTGTTGCCATGTATGCACCCTGTCACTAACCCACTGATTGGGTCTACCATGGTTTTCAAAACCAGACCAGACCGGACAGTAGGACCGGAAAAACTGGGAATCAGTCAGGTGATCAGTTCYGTTTTTTCTCAAAACCGGATATTTGTAAAAAAAAACTTTGATTTGGTCAGTAAACCACTGATCCAGGCGGTTGAACCATTCAAACTGTTCAACGGTTTTGACCATTTTTTTTATTTTTTAATTTTTTGTCAGAATGGGCCGACCTTTCGACTCAAATGGTTAGACCATTTGACCCAGGAATCAGACCCCTGACTGGTTCGTTCTCTGAATCAATTTTAAAAACCTTGATTGAAATTGCATCATTAATACCAGAAAATAATAAAAATTAAAAAAAAAACATGCATACATATTACATAATACAAAAGCAAAGTAGACTAGAATATGCATTCCATTTTCACTCTCAAGCATTCGTAGTGGTGTAGATGAAATTGCATTGCAATCAGACGTATAACTTCAGCAAAGAGATCGGAATGGATGGGAGTCTTTACTAGCTGTTTATTTCATCTTTACTAGGAGTGCAAGTCGAGTAGGTTGGGTTAGGTTTAAGCTCAACCTGAGCCCATCCCTAAGAATTGGGTCTAAGACCCAAGCCTAATGTCAGTTCCACTCTGAAATTTGAATTATTTGAGTGAGTTCGAGCCTGGGATGGGCTCAGTTTGGTCAATCAGCCTACACTTCAATTTGATATAAATGTATATGTGTTTATTTATTCAAGCATATATCTATAGTTTATACATGTATGCATATAAATATGTATTTATATATGCATATATGTATATATATAATCAGACCAGGCTCAGGTTAGGTTCAACTACCTAAGGGTTAGGCCGGGCCTGACCCAAAAAAATAAAAAAGTTCAGACTTTTGGCTCAAGGCCCAACCCAAAGACTGAACATCCAAGCCCAGCCCATATAAAATTAATTATAGGTTGGGCAGGTCTGAGCTCATGTTAGATCCGCCCAAGTTGCACTCCTGATCTATACTGATTCTCTATGGGGATATTGCTTAGCCCTAAAATTTGCAAACACAAATGCCAAATACGAGGAATTGGAGAAGCAAAAGCTTGATCTTCTGATGCAAATAACTTCAACGAACAGAATACTGGACATATCAAACTTACTATAAGTCTCTTCAATACTCTACATTTTCATACATTGTCTGGACGTTGCAAAGCTTTACTAATTGTTTCAGTCATTTAATATGAAATGGGAGAGTCGGTTTCAGAGGTCCGGAAACCACATTGGAGCCACGTAATTTCATGATAGGATCTCTAGGCTGGACGATATTTGAGTCTTTATTTGGATAAGAGAGGCGAGATGCAGGAACAGAGTTTGTGTAATTCCATGTTTAGGAATAAAAATGCAAGAGTTGAAAGAAATCATGGAATTTATCCTTTCTTGCGTGTTTACCATTATAAATGCATCACCTTAGAGGAATGTGAAGACACACCCACACAGATTTACTTCATGGCACTATTGCCTTTGGATAGAGAGAGGAGAATGGACTTCTCCAAGCTTACAGTCCTTATTATTCTCATTCTCTGCCTGACTTTCTCTGCTTGTTCTCTAAAATATTTTGGTTAGTAGCTAGTAGGATACCTGGTTTTTTACATTCTTCATTTTCTTCAATTTGCTATTTTAGAGAGATTAAGGGCTTGTTTGGTGTGTCATTCCGTGCAGTTTTTCGGCTGTTTACAAGTTGGGAAGATCGAAAATCGTTTTATTTCCATTTGGCATGTGGAAGATCTAGCCGTCAAAAGACAGGGTGCCAAAAAGATGTGAAAAGTCCATTTTGGACTGATTTCAGGAAGCTCCAAATGATGCTTCTCGCATTTTAATCTCGCACAGAAAAACTCGAAGCGATGCATGGAAAGATGATCGTCTACCAAATAGTCTTCGGGCTGCCTAGATCTTATGTCAAAAGTTCAATGCGTCTTTTGACTGTTAGAGCTACAAAAAGATCTTCTTAAAAAGACTTACCAAACGGGCCCTAACTCTACCAGCATGAGTTTCTCTTACACCACCAGTCCTAGCCCAGATAAAGGAGGGCTGCATAAAGATAGTAGTCGATACTAAAACTTTTGCCAAACTCTCGAGATCATGGATCCTGATGTGTTTTTTTATTCTGAGATGAATAGTAAAACAAGAATCATGCAACCAACCCCATATAGTTGGGATAATGGATAATCTTTTTATGGAATTCTGTTATTTATTCAAAACCATGGAAACATCTAGATATTGAAATCCTAATATTCCATCTTAACCAGATGATCTAGCGATAGAAAAATGAAAGAAAAGAGAGAGAGAGAGAGAAATGAATTCAGCTTCGATCAGGGCAAGCCTTGCATTGAAAATATCTCCCTACTTATGTACAGCCTTGCATTGAAAATATCTCCCTACTTATGTACTTTATTTCATGGGAAGATATTCTGAATTTTTGTTTTTTTTTATTTTTGATGATTCTAAAATTATATCTTCTTTGTGAATGCAGGACCCAAAGAAACAGGTGTCAATAAGGACCATGTCTAGAAAATGTCGATTGCAAGAGACAATGTGATGCAGAGTTATATAGATATGGTGCTATATGTGTTCCTGATCCTTATCATGGTGGTCGACACTGTTGCTGCATTATTGAACAGAATGATGTAGATGAGGCTTGATGAAATTATGGTATGAGATTCTTCTTTCAAGTCTCAGTTGTTTGAAAAGTACGATTGAAAATTTTAAAGTATAATGTAGAGAAATTATAAGCCAAACAATCCAATGAAGTTAAAAGTAAACAAATTGGAAAGATGAGACAATGGGATTTTTCATGTGGAAAACCATCTAATATGAAGAGATAAAACACAGAACCTAATCAGTTAAAGAATCCATTCTCGCAATGCAAACAAATCAACTTGCGCTATATTGGCCCAGACTGACATAGACTAAAAGTAAGACGATTTTTCGTATTTTCTGTGATTGTGCTTTGAATGCATAGAACGCAAACATCCATATAGATTCCTAATTTTGATATAGAGAAGTTAATAGGTCCCAAGGATGATGAGACAAATCCTTGTTAACATCTCTCATTTAGCTGTGGCCCCCGAGTCTTAAGAGATTGTTTGGGATGGCCTTCATGCAGTGGCTTCTAGGTTCTAGCAGTGTAAGCCTGCAAGGCAGGCTTCCAATGGAAAGCAGTGAAGTTATGTTTGGTGAAAACCCCATAAATTAAAAAAAAAAAAAAAAGAAAAAAAAAAGAAAAATGCTTAGACTGAGCTGAGAAATCAACTTTCCAAAGAAACTAGTTTTGGTAACTTCTTCAAAAGGGCTCAGGACCCATTTGAGAGGATTTCAACATTGATTGAGCTGTGTTGACTTCAATTGCTTCGGAAAAGCTATTAAAAATAGCTTCACGGAAAAGTTGATTTCTTGGATCATGAAAGTGTAGTTTTGGCTTTCTGGGCTTTTCATTAAACATGGCTTCACAGCTTTCTCTTTGGGACCTACTTTGCAATGCCAGAAACCGCTGCATGAAAACCCTCCCTAAAGGACACTCGGTCAATGTAGCTCAATCAACACTGGAGGCCTTCCAAATGGACTCTTACTTCAATTGCCTCTTGAGTGTTGAGGTCCCAAAAAGAAGAAAATGGAAGTAATACAAAACATGTACCCAATTCGTTCATAGGTGTTCCATACTCTGGTAAGCAATCCTCTTGTATGTATATGTATATATGGCACATGCTGTATTAGATCAACCTAATAATGAGCAAGCTTGGTGCGGGATAGGCAGACTAAAGCTATAAAACGAGAACAGATTTTGTCCTCTCAAAAATTGCAGTTGTGCATGAAAAACATTTCAGCTCAGTTTAGAAAGAGTATAAATACAAATATATATAGTATAAAATAATACAAAACACACAGATTTGCACTCTACATATTTGTATTTGTGCTTCTTCCAAACTGAGCCTTCTGTACGTATATGTTTCATTCATGAGAAGATGCTCCCAATATACAGCTGAAGTATTGTGAGTACAGCAGAGGAACAATTTTGTGAAGACGAAATATGGATTCTCTATAAACCAGGCCCCAGACTGGCATATATAAACCCATAAAGATGATCGGAGCAGAAGACAGAATTTGGATCCTCTACACGATTGACTGGAGTAACTGATTCACGCAAGGTTCAAAGTATTAATAGCGCCGATGACTTCCCGATATGCCCCTACAGGGTGTATCGGGGTTCTGACCAATTCAGGGGTAGAGGAGCCCTAAACCGGCTCCCCTGAATCAGTTTTGAAAAAAAAAAATAAAAAAAACATAAAACAAACTACCAATATCACCCGATACGCCCCTRCCGAAGTATCGGGCATATCGAGATTTTGAACTTTAGATTCACCCTTTGTAAAGCGAACAGCCGAACATCTACAATCAGGGTGATTCTATAAATCTGCAACAGGTACAGCAATCGCCTGCATAGCCACCAATTAGGTAGTTTGCATCCTATTTTCACCCGATCCCATGCAAACAGCCCAATACGCTGGTGGGGGTGTATCGAACTGTATCGGCCCTCACTATTTTAGTTTATTTTCAAACTTGGTTCAGAGGGATAGGTTTAAGGCCCGTCTACCCCCTGAACTGAGTTAAACCCCAAAACACCTGTAAGGGATTATTGAGAGACTCCCAATACAATATATATCAGCCGATATATGGTTCGATACATATCAAATTGATCCTTGGTATTTTATTTGAGCTTCCACCTTGTGTTATTTGATTGAAGTGCAAATGACCCAATCCAAAGCCAAGTAAAGTGAAACTCAAAAGGCAAAAGTAAACCACAATTTACATTATTTTCATTTACACTCGTACATTTGTACTAGCCAAATGAAATTACACTACAAACATAGCCGCGGCGGATTAACAATGGCTGAAGTGACTGAACTAAATGGCTTATATTGCTTTGTGACTTTGTGTGGACAAAATACTTGTATACGGCATAGTAGTTGACCCAAAACCACCTCCAGACATACTGACAACCGAATTGCAATCGTTTCAATTTAAAAATAATAAATTTATGTTTGTCTTTTGTCATAACACCATCAAATTGTCATGTTCTTAGTATCGAAAATAATAGGAACCACATGATCTCAGATGAAGGGGAAAAGGAAAAATGAAAACAAAAGAAAAGAAAAATAACAACAATTTGCAACCAAAATTAAAGCTCAACCACCATCAAATATAACTCTCGKTAATTCAAGATTGCTTAAGAAACTGAATATAAGATGCATTACTTGGAAACAAAACTTTTATCAAGAAAGAACAGACTGTTACAAGCCAACCCAAATTGTGTCAATCCAACTCACAAAATAGTAAGCCTAGTCAACTTCCATATCAGAAATGGCATCACTAAGAATCTTCTGGAGTTCTTTCACTCTTTGCCTTGTAAGTGCAACACAATCCTACATCAATTGAATAACCTTACTCACTAGCAATCAATTTTTCACAAGACTGTTTGGTTGCAGTGCAATTTTATTTGCACTAGTATGAATGCATGGGAGTACAAATGAAAAGAATGCAAATTTTGGCTTAATTTTGTTTTAGGGTTTATTTTACTCTGCTTCAGGTTTTATTTTACTTTATTTGTACTGCAATCAAACAAAACAAGGTAAAATTTGAAACAAAAAAAAATCAGAATTTTCATCCAAATCATTCGCACATAGTTTTCCATCAGTTCAAATAGACTTGCACTGCAGCCAAACACAGCCAAGGCTCAGTTTGGAAAGAGTGCAAATACAAATATGTACAGTGCAAAACAGAGCCTAAGAGTACACATACAAATATGCACAGTACAAATACATACAATATAATACAAAATACAAGGTTTTGCAGTCTACATATTTGCATTTGTACTCCTTCCAAACTGAGCCTAACATACATAAGTGCACAATAAACAGGGGCGCCCAAAAAAATTAAAGTACTTAATTAATATGCCTCCTTATACCAACATTTCCTTCTAATTTCTAATTACTAAATCATAGCTAATTAGAATTCTCCACTCAAAAATTTTGGGAACCTTTAACCCTTAACCCTTACATTAGTTCATCTATACTCTACCTACTGTCACTATTTAGTGTCCATTTGTTTCAGTCAGAATCAGAATCGGAATTGGAATCGAAATTCCTCACAATCAGAATTAGAATGGTCTATTCCCCAACCTGTCTGGTTCAGGCGGGAATCAGAATCAGCTAGATTGGATTCTCATTCCCAAGGGAGGGGGAAGGAATGGCCATTCCCTCAAATAGGGGAATGCCACTCCACCAGGAATGGGAATCGGATTCCAATTCCACCCCCCATTCAAATTCTGATTCCAGACCCCTATTACCACGAACCAAACAGACCCTTAGTTACCGTTACAATAGCCAACTCAAAACCCTATTGCCACTGTTTAATTAGCACAAAAGCCAACAATATCACTTTGTTAACATCCACACGTTCTCTCTCCCAACAATTTTTGGATGTGCCAGACAAAAGATGCCTAATTGTTCACTTCTTTATATCATTAGAAGCTGTAATTAAAATTATTTCCATATGGATCATTCATCGGGTAAAAAATCAATGTAGGATTTCTTATTTAACATGGATGACTTGCTTCATAATTGATATGTGATAGCAAGCACTTCAACTAGAAGGGAGGAAAGAGTGGCTATTTGAATTTTGAATACCTCTATGACAAGGCCTAAACCTAATAGAGCAGAATTTTGATGGGTGCAATTTGGGAAATCCAGGTGCTTCTGGAATAGGTGGTTCCTTGAGTTGTCATAGGGGTGACATTCTAGTGCTCTCAGGCCCAATTGGTACTGCTAAAACTCGATTAATGTTAACTTCACAGCTTGATCCAGGCAACATTACTAGAATATAGGACTGTGAAAGGTTCAGGCATACCTAACCCAAACCAAACCAACCCAATTACGTAGTCTGGGTCTGCATTATGTGTCCCTTTTTTTTCGAAAGGTAAGATAAAATTATATAGAAACAGCAAGAAAATGGCACACACTGAGATTGACTAGGAAAGCAAATCAGATTACAGACACCAAAGGGAATGGGAATCTTAACAACTCGGACACATTCAGGCTTTTGAACTCAGGTTTTACAGAGACCCAAGATTAACTAACAGATCCCAATTATAATTGGGTAAGGATCGGTTTTGGCTGTTCCAAACCAATTTATGTATATACTTACCAAAGAAACCCAATTTATGTATATTTTTGTTGGCACATTACAAAGATGGCAACAATTTAATACTTATATTCTCTTTTACCATAGAAGACCAACTTTTCTCATGATATACTTTTAAAATTATCATATTATGATGTCTAAATATATTGGTTTAACAAACTGTCAAATTATATGTTAAAAATATGGTTTCCAATTATAATCAGGCCAGAACTGGTAGTCTCGATTACAGACACTATAGCGTCTGGTTTGAAACTAGTTTTGAACACCTACTTAACGGGTCAGCAGTCAGTCAGGGTTTACCCTGACCCAGACCCAACCTATTGATAGAACTAGAACTACTAGAATACAGTACAGACAGCAATATGCTTGTCAAGATTCAATCACAATCATTAACTATGATGGATAAAAGTGCATGTCCATAGCAGTTGCGACACTTAATCAGAGAAGCAAAATATCTTGCGAACTCTTTTGGGGTGGCACTTTCCTGGATTCTACAGTCAGCCAACTTTCTAGATGACTTATTAACTAGGAGACAAAATCTGCATTGAGAGGTATATCCATTAGAGTAGCCTGCTCAATTCAGGTAGAAGTCATTGACAGGGAGAGTGGCATTGGGCTAGTTCTGTTCTTGATGTAAAACTTAGAATGCTTCTGCACCTATTCTTTTTAAATAATTTGAATAAATTCAAAGAGTTGTTGATCAAAAATTTGTTCCTTCTATGGTTTCCTTTTCATTTTCACCAACTTATAGCAATGGATTTATGGTTTTCAATAGAAAGGTTAAAAATATATTACAGGATTTCAAGTTATAATGTCATCAAGGAGAAAAGCTTAATCATTGTTTGCCTCGTAGTAATCATGCTAAACATAGCAGAGTCCACATTGAGAGCTAAGCCTTTCAAGCAATACATAAACTTCCTTTTTTTGGAAGTTTCTATACATTGACAACTCAATTTCTTTCTTCTATCCTATTTTCCTATATCAAATTAGTTGATGCGCTTCTTACTTGTATTATTTGACTGCTAAGGAAATGAAAAGTTTTTTGTCAATTATGACCATCAGAAAAACACGTATACTTCCACTATACTGCAGAGATTTCTTAGCCAAAAGTTGCTCATTATACATTTTTTACATCAAGGGTTCAGATGATTGACATTTTTGTAGCATATTATACATTTTAGTAATGTTTATTTAATATGTTCTTAAAGATATATCTAAGATTCCTTTTATGATGTTCTCTCATGGATTAATCTTATATAATTAAAATTCTTTTGGCCTGTTTATCTATGATGGGCAGGTGGACCTAATTCATAGATCCAATATCCAATTTATTGGCTTTCTTTTATAAATTTTATTTACTAGTATATACTTCCAAGTTTAAACCTTCAACAATCATCTTTCTTTATAAGCTTTAGCACAAATAATGAAAAATATTTCCTATAGCATGAGGGAACAATAAACATGATTTTAGAAGATAGATAGTATATATTTTTGGGGCATAAATGGAATTTCTGTTGTAAAACATGGGGTGTTGGAATCTTCCTTTCTGATAAATAAATAAATAAATATATGTGATATATTCTAGCAACGTTATGTAATTTGTTCATCCTAAAAAATTAAATTAGCCTCCTAAAAGAAAATCCCTGGTTCTGCCCCTGTGTGATGCATTTAAGTCAGTTCATGGTTTCCATCTATCTGATCTCTTGGAAACTATCCCATGTTAACTTGGAGTGATTAACCAAAAGTGACTCTTACTAAGATGGCATCTAGGTTCTTGAAACCTGCTAACCATCTACCTATGGCAATCCATTTGGAATTAAACTACCCTATACTTTATCTTTTCTCAAAATAAAAATGGATCTTTCAGTTTCAGGAATATTTACCAAAAGGTTTCATTTTGGAGGTAGGTGCAAACAAACCTGAACAGCTGACATGTAAGCAAGAACTGGTCCTCCTGGCTTGTAGAGGGACACAAGTCGACTTGAAGAGTCTAATACCACAGTAACAGGAGTTTCCATCACAGACTCTTCTTCTGCAGTAGGGTCAGCCAAGATGTAATTTTTGTGAAGGATGCAAGTCAATGAGAAAGGAATACAAGTCAGAGTAAGCTTCCTTTTCTCTTTGTTGACTGGGTCTTTTAGTAGCTTGCCTTCTTCATTTTCCCCTGACATGATAACAACTCTTCCATCATCATTGACAGTGACAGCTGGAATTTGCACTGCAAGTTGAAATGAAAATTATACGATTAACACAACTTGGTGCAGGAATAAGAATAAATTCAACAAATTAATCATATAAACAATTAAACATATCTATGAAACATATTGTGGTCAAAATTTTTGGTAGTGCCCAAACTAAAACTGACACTGCCAACAGTGACGTAGCCAGGAATTTTTTTCTAGTGGGGTCATACAATAACTTAAAAAATAACACTACTTAGAGAGGGAAAACATGATTTGGAGTTCTCCTTTCTTTTTTCTTCTGTTAGTTGTCTTCTAGTTGCCATGTAATGACCAAAATACCCTCTACTCCTTTTGTTTATTTTGCATTTCAAAATGTCAACTTTTTGACATTTTCAACCACCCAAGTTATTAGTCTAAGAGTCCAAATTGACCCCACCCTCTTATTTTTTCTTTTAACCTTACCGGAGTCAATACGGGAAAATGGGCTGAAATAACGCAAATAGTTCATTCTTTTTTTTTGAACATCAGTGGGAACAACCGCCCAAGTTATTAGTCTAATAGTCCAAATTGACCCCACCCTCTTATTGTTTTTCTTTTAACCTTACCGGGGTCAATACCGGAAAATGGGCTGAAATAATGCAAACAGTTCATTCTTTTTTTTTTTTTGAACATCAGTGGAGTCAGTTGACCCCACTGAAATACATGTAGTATAGCCCCTGACTGCCAACCCTAGTCGGAGTTGTTGATTTGCCCTATACCAATTTGGGCATAGGGATGAAGAAACATCAAGCAAAAAGGGCACATATTTCCATCCAATGCTGTTAAAATAGTTTGATGGCTGATCCGAATAGAAGGGATGAATGGACAAGATGGATAAATAATATATTAGTGAAAAAAGATTGTCTAAAAGCCAAAATGAAAATATAACTGAGCAAACTGAGTGGCAAATAAAAAATGGAAACTATTAACCTAGAACATAGAAAGTTAAATCTACCAGAATCTAAATGAATAAAGTGATAGTACAGGCTTTACTACCAAATATATGATATTCCAAGACGAAATTGCAACTTAAGGTTTTTCTTTAGAGCAGAGATGAAGAAGAAACAACACAAAACTGCTGAATAAGACCTTGACAATTCTACCATAAAGACTCAGAGAGATGAACCTTGAAGACTGCCTTGCACATGTCCAGAAGTGCCCATTGTCCAAGGTAGGCTCTGGCTGTAGTTTGGGAATTAGTTTTTTATAGATTAATTCCATTGTCTAACACCTACATATAGAAGGGAGTGCCAACTGGGGTATATTGTAGGAGGGATAAGACTTTGTGTTCCTCAAGGTCAGGAAAACAAAGCAAGTTCTTAAGAGAAGTAAAAAGGTTGCAGGTTGAATCACTGGAGAAGATGAGTGACAAAGTAAATTTGTCGGGTGGTCAAGGTGGTGTTTAATGTTCTTTTAGTGCAGGTATATAGGTGATGCCTTGGGGTTTGGTGTTTCTAATTTTAGGCTGGTTTGGTGGTTTTTCAGTTCGAGCTGTTCGATTGAAAGCCAAAAGCAATTTGAGATATAAGGTCTTGTATGGGTACAGAACAAAGTAAATTTGTGGGGTGGTCAAGGTGGTGTTTAATGTTCTTTTAGTGCAAGTATATAGGTGATGCTTTGGGGTTTGGTGTTTCTAGTTTTGGGCTGGTTTGGTGGTTTTTCAGTTCGAGCTGTTCGATTGAAAGCCAAAAGCAATTTGAGATATAAGGTCTTGTATGGGTACGGCGTATGGGTGGTACCTTTTAGTCCTTTGGTTTGGAGAGATGAAACTTCGGAGGCTTTATTTGTCTGCATTTTTAGGGTTAAGAAATGAGTGGGTATGGGTGGTAGCTTTCAGTCTATCATTGATGTTTTATGATTTATGATTCGGATGGGTCATTCAAAACCGGTTGGGTCATCAATATGGATAGTTTTCAACTGTTCATACCAGCTTTCAATGGTTCACTCGATTTTTCAGAAATTTGAAAAAACATGTTTCTAAAAAACCAGAATGCCTACTATTTCCTGGTTTTCATGGTCCAACCATCCAGTCCTGTCTAAGTCTTACAACATTGCCTGACAGTTCAAATCCTAGGGCCAATTAGGCCCAGAACTTAGTCTTTCCCCACCTGCACCAATGTCTCTGGCACAACGTGTAGTCAAACTCAAACCTAAAATAGCACTTGAATGATGGACAACTAGGCTTAGTGTGCCCAAAGCCTATTCTCTTTCAACTTTGGTGCTACAATTAGAAACAGATCCATATACAGAACCATGAATAGATTCAATCAAACTTTATTTTCATTTAACTTACAGAAACTTTAAGCAATTTTAGCTGAACTGACCCTTATTTGTTATTATTGTCTTCCTCTTGTATAGCTTCATAAGCTTATTGAACATACTAAACCCCAGGAACCGCCTTTTATTTATTTCTTTCTTTTTTTTATAAGAAGACTTTTGAAACATGCACCAGTCTTTGATTGTTTAAGCCTTTAAAATGATCAGAAGCAATGATATTTTGCTCACAAAAGCAATATCACAACCAATGGGCCATGAACTTGTGGTTCAAACAGGACATTCTGAATTTTTAGGTTGTCAAAGTTATCTGTCTTATCTCAAATTTTAAGGTATATATTACCGGGGAAAAAAACTTCAAGGTAAGCAAAAAATATCCTGCAAATCACATGCTGCTGCCTTTCCAAGATTTCAGGAACACTACTTTTTAAATCAATGCAGATCAGTTTATAAAACTCTTAAAAATACACATTTTAGTGGTAATACCATTAACTCATCTTAGGGAATGAGATCAACAGGCATGTCAAATCTTTTATCAAGTCAAGTTGGACTGTTGGAGCACACTCAAGGAGCGAAGGAAAAACAGAAAGCATATCTTACAGTGAGAGAAGGCAGCAACTGCTGCAAGTAATGCTGCATCGAAAAGAGCACCATCTGCATCTAGACAGTATATATCCTACAAAACATGCATGTTTCACTGTCATCCAAATATAAGAAACAGATTGACAATGATATTTGCATTTTTTTTCTCCACCATTTTTTAAGCATATGATGTATATCATCTTTTCAATAATTTAAAAAAAAAAGGCAACTTTTAAAGAAACCTTTTATACCAGTAAAAAGATTGAAAGAGAATTCTCAGGTCAAACAAAAGAAGACAATGAAGGAAATCTTTTTTATTGGTTATAGTGCAGGAATGCCTTATAAATTCTCTGTGGAATTGAAATTCTACATATTAGATCTCATTACCAAATATGCCATCCAAGCTGCCTTTCCACTGACTAATGACAGTTCCTTTAAATTGATCATTCCAGAACTGCACCCAAATAACAAGCCCATCAAACATGCATATCCAGAAAATACAATCATCAGAATGCAGCAAAGCACTAAATGTGTATCAATCATTCAACAAAACCAATCAAAAACACAAGGATAATTAGATAAGTAAGAAAAAGAAATGCAAGTTGAAATTAAAAAAAAAAAGGACACTCAGATTTCTCAATTACAAATTAGGTTAATGCTCATATTTGGGACTTTACATAGTAATTTCATGCATGCTGTATTTTTCAGTATAAATCTTAAACTTGCCCATTCCCATTGAGATGAAGTGGTTCTAGGGTTGCAAGATATTATTGAACATCCACTTCAACCACAAATATCTATTCTCAGCCTTGAAGTTCTATCTCATGGCTCAAGATTTCCATCAGATATGATCAAAACTGACTTCACTAGAATTAATCTTGCAATGTAATTTGGCTACGGGGTTGATCCAAAATGGCATACCTATCGCAAACCATGTAATTTAGGCCTCAAAATAGAGTATAGTTAACAAACAAATTTGCTACCCATCCCATCCAGCCTGCCCCTCCCAAGACTCCAGATAGCCAAGACCATTATTAGGTAATGACCCTTTACACAATGAGCTACCCTCACAGTGATCAAATCAAAATAGGTCCCATCCCTGGACTTATTTTCAGATTTCTCCTTAGATGACTTGCTGAGGAATTGGAAGGAGATAGCTAACTCTGCCAAGGTCAAAAGGGTTTCTAATCCCTCTTGGACCCCTCCTCCCACTGGGTCTATAAAACTAAACTTTGATGGCAGCAGCTTTAGGAACCCAGGGCTGCCTAGTATTGGGGGAGTTTTCAGGAATGAAGAGGGGCTTATTCTAGTTCTCAGGCCCCATTGAGGAAGGAAACTCTCTTAGGGCCAAGATCCTTGCGGCCCTGGAAGGTTCCCAAAGAGCATGGGAGTTGAACATCAGAAGACTGGTTATTGAGGATGACTCGGAGAAGGTGGTGAGATGGCTTAGGGAAGACAGCTCTGGTATATAGAATTACAGCAATGAAAAGAAAAACCTTAAGTGGCTGACTAGGGACATTGAGGTTAAGTACAGTTGGGTAAAGAGAACTGCTAATTCACTTGCCAATGGGCTAGCCAAGCAAGGGGTGAATAGGGTTTTTTTGGGGGGGCTCATTTCTATGTTTCTTTTTTATGCTGTTGGGAGAGTTAAGACAGTTCAACTCCCCCTCTTTTGTGATAAAAGCTTCACTGTTTTAATAAAAGTTGCCGTTATTAATCAAAAACTAAGTGAGTGAATGCAGAGGATACTCTCAAGTTCTTCTCTTCCAAGATAAAGCATAAAATTGCCAGAGCAATACATCTAGACATCATCTTACTCCCTAAAGCTTCTTAGGAGACCATGTACCAACTCCAAACAAGATCAACAGTATCCTTACCACAAGTCCACTAAGCATCTAAATATAACAGCACTCCAAAAAGTTGTACATATAGAGACACAAAACCAATGGATGAAATGGATGAACAAGACCTTGTTGAAGTTAAAAGCTTAATGGCCATTCTTGTATGATCCAGAATTTTACTCTGATGCCTCATCTACACTGGGGCTTCCTTTGGAGCAATGCTTGGTTTCAATATATAAAGTATCAAAGAAGAAGGATATACCAGCATAAGTCACTCACTCACCCCAGATCATTAATCAGGCTCTGTGCCAAGTTCAAAACTCCAAATCCCAAAAGCCTACAACCTATAGAATACAAGCATTCCCTCCACATCAAGAAGTTTGGCATCCACTAAAAGATGAGGAAAAACCATCGTAACTTAACCAACCCTAACTGATCAGCCCAAGTGCCAACTCCAAAGTTCGAAGTCTATAACCTTTTGCACAAGGAAGCCCCTTCTCAGTAAGAAGTGTAATATCCAGTAAAAAAGGGCCAGAATATACTTTCAATCTTTCATTCTATAAAATCCTTAAGTTATGTACAACTATATATCAGATTTTTTATAGGAAACAGTAGCTTTCATTAGCTTAAAAAAAAAAAAACAGAAATACAACTGTCACCTACAGAGACATAAGGTGACCCCTCGTCATAAAATCAAATTAGAAAACAGCCCAAAACAAAGATTTCCGATTTACTCCTTGCTTTGCTAGATTGTCAGGTAAAGAATTTACTGACCTCCTAGTCCATTTAACATGTGCACTCAGCTCCCTTGTGAGGCTCGATAGTTCACTTATAGGTTGTTTAAGGAACCATGTTACCAAACTATTTGTTTGCAACCAGCCTATTACTAAATTTGAGCCTCCCTCCACTTCTAACTGTTGAATGCCTGCACCCAGCTCCACGAGGACCACGACTAGATATCAGATTAGTCCAAGTGCCAAGTCCAAAGTTCTAGAGTTTATAACCTATTACACAAGGACAGACCGTTCATAGCAAGAACTAAGAAGTGTGTTAGAGTTAGCAGTCAAGAGGGTATTTTAGTCTTTATATTCTGTTATTAATAGTTACATTGTCTCTTTTATCTCAGTTTAAGTTGTGTCCCATACTTAATTAGGGACATAAGAGTCTTTGTATATTAAAGTCCAAAACATATAAATAAGAAGGTGATCAGCTGGGAGAGGGTGATTTTTCTCTCAAGCCGTTTCTCTCTATTCTCTTCTCCTTTTCTTTCTCTTCTTCTCTATTCTTTCCTTCTTGTTTCTGACCTAGGGCTGAACCAGTGCTAATTGAACCATTAACATGGTATTAGAGCATTGGTACTCAGTTCAGAAATCAGTCAATCTTCTTTTCTCTTTGCATTGCCTCTCAGTCCATTGTTTTGAGGATATCTCATCACTCACTTCGAGGATCAAGAATGGAACAAAAAGGGTTGGTCGTTTTTCTGTTTAGGAGGTAATCATGCTTCCAGTAGTTGATGCAGTGATCGCATCCGTGGGTTGTTAGAAACCCTTTACTCGATGACTCGAAGAGGGCTGGTTGGTGAACAGGTCTTTGTATCTTGTTTTTGGCATGGTGTTTCAACCCTATTAGGAGTGAAATTCAAGCCTTTTAGCAGTGTTGAACAATAGGTAGGGAGTCATTTTTCTTCTTTCTTGGTGACTGAATGTGTGATAGCAGTGAATTTTGTTGAATAAACCTGTGACAGTGTATGTTTCAACAACAATTGACTACTAGTAGTGTGGTGTAGTGAGTACTGAATAGTGTGGTGTGGAATTGGTGATTGAAGATCTTATTCTCTTAAACCCATGGCAACAATAGGAGAGAGTAGTGACAATAAATCCAGTGTTATGATTCCCCCCAACTACCTGAATGTACAAATGGCATCCATCAAATTAAATGGTGAGAATTATGTGCCATGGGCTAAGTCAGTGGACGTTTTCCTTAGAGCCAAAAAACATGTGAAAGAGGAAAAACCCTTAACTGAACCTCAAGGGTATAATGAGTGGGAACAAGAGGATGCACAGATTATGATGTGGTTGTGGAATATCATGGAGCCCAAAATTAGTGTGAGTTTTATGTTTTTAGATATTGCCAAGGAGATTTGGGACCATGCTAAGAAACTTTAATCTAGACAAGATAACACTACACGAGTGTATCAAGTTTATCAAGAGTACTTTAATCTACAACAAGGAAAACAAAGCCTTGAGGAATATTATGCTAGTATGAGAAACCTTCATAATGAGCTTAATGTGTATCATCCTTTGACATTAGATGTTAAAATTCAGCAACAGCAACAAGAACAGCTTGATGTTACCAAGTTTTTAATGAAATTGAAATCTAAATATGTTAAAATTCTGCTCTTCCCTCTAATGAGAAGGTGTTTTCCCAACTTCATAGAATCTCCATTGGGCCTTTAAAGAGTCATACCATCTTTGATAGGTCTACGTTTGCAGTGGAAGGAGGGGGAGGTCGTGGGGTGGACATGAAGTCCAACTGAGACAAGGTGGTCCTATGCTTAACCGTACTAGTGGACGTAGTGGAGGTCAAGATTTAAGGGGAGGTTGTGGTAGAGGATGTAGCAATGGTCATAGGAAATGCATATATTGTGGAATGGAGGGACATACTGCTAATTTTTGTTATGATCAGCATGGGCCAATCATGTTGTGACAAGTGGTAGTTAGTGAGAACCAACAATCTGATCAGATACCTTCTACATCTACAAGTGCATCTAGGAAGGAGATGTTGAGTGTTCCACGCGATGAACACAAAAGGTTTCTTTAGCCTTCCTCTTAGCAGAAAACAGCTACCCTTGCCCACTTAGGTATGGCTTGTTTGGCATCCAAACCTTCCCATTGCATTATTGACTCTAGAGTTTCCGATCATATGAATGGAACTTCAAGTGTGTTTTCTTCCCTCTCTCAGTCTTCCACATCCTAAATAGCTACCTTAGCTAATGGTTCTACTTCTCCTATTTATGGTGTTGATAATGTTGATCTTACATCTTTATCTTTATCTTCAGTTTTATATGTACCCAAATTCCCATTTAATCTCATGTCTATTAGTAGATTGACTAAGTCTCTTAATTTTCTATCACCTTCTACACTTCTTGAGTTCTTGTACTTTTCAGGATCTTAAGACGGGGATGAAGATTGGTGGAGGGCATGAAATTGGTGGATTATATTACCTTGATGGCGGTGATCCAAGAGTAGCACTCCAGTCTTCTCTCACTACTCTTTAGTGGCATTGCAAACTTGGTCATCCGTCTCTTAAGGAACTCAAGTTACTTGTTCTATCATTCAGTCATCTTTCTTCTTTGGATTGTGAGTTGTGCCAGTATGGGAAACATCACAAAGTTCCCTTTAGTCCTAGAGCCAATAGTCAAGTTTTAAGTCCTTTTTCTTTGGTTTATTTAGATGTTTGGGGTCCAAATAAAACTGTATCATATAATGGTTACAACTTACAAGTAGTTTGCAATTTTCAATGGTGATTATTCAAGGATGACATGGCTTTATCTTATTAAAGAAAGAAGTGAATTGTTCTCCATTTTCCAAAAGTTTCATGCTAAAATTCGTACTCAATTTGGTGTAATATCCAATGCTAAGTTGCTAACCAAACCATAAATAAAGTGTAATATCCAGTGCTAACCAAACCATAAATGAAGTGTAATATCCAATGCTAACCGAACAATTAACAAAGTGTAATATCCAGTGCTAATTGAACCATTAACAAAGTGTAATGTATCCAGTGATTAAAGGCTAGAACACACTCTCATTCTCTCACAACCATTAGTTTAACATCTAGTATAAGAAGTGCCAAAACAATTGTAGGCTAACTGCTAACCAATAGTCACCCCTAAAAGGAGAAGCACCAAAACCTGATCAAACCTTCCCTCCAAAACCTTTCCTGGCCAAGCCAAACAACATAAACCAGAGAAAACACACCCAAACAACCAGAACAAACACCCTCAACTAACGAAATGAGAACATCAACCCCCAATAGACCATAGAGCCCAACTAACCACATCCAGGAAACAAAATACACCCCAACCTGAGCCTCATCCCAACTAGAAAAAGCTCCCAAACTCAAACCAACCCCTTTGTAAGGCCTTACAAACCCCTCCTTGATCTAAACATTACAATTTCTGTTTCTTGGGTTTCTTAATTTTCTTGCTAGGACCACCCCCCAGAAGTCCCATCTTCAATCTGCTGAAAACTCTTCAGACTTGAACAGTTCAAAGTTGCTTCTTGTTTCTAAATCTTCTTAACGCATTAGGCAACTATTCACTCACTCCTCACAATAAGTGTAACACCAAAGTTCTAGAGTCTACAACCTATTGCAGAAGGACAGCCCCATCACAGTAAGTTTAATATCCAGTGAAGAAGGGCAAGAACGTACTTTCATTCTCTGACAACATTTAATTGGGTATGACCAGATATCAGATTAATTGTTTTCTGGCTTAAAAGAGGAACCCACAAGCACTTGCCCCATATCCTCTCTTCAGTAGAAGTTTCAACCAAGTAAAACAACGGCAAGCATGAGAATGCAGGTTTGAGTCTGAGCCTCTAAGTATGGCCACTTTGTGCAGAGAAAAAAAATGTCAAAAGTTAGGATCATACCTAGTCTAGCCCTCCCAAGACCCCAGATAGCTAGAACAACATTGGGTAATGGCCTTTCTTAAGGGGAGGCCTCTTAAGCTATGGTAATCAGATACCTCCATAAGGGTTCTGTATCGTGTCATATACTTCATTTTTAGTGTAAAGTAATTATCCAACACCTTTTCCAGTCATGTCCTCATAGCATCTAGACAAAGTAGCTCTTAGGTGGATATTTGCAGACATGTATTCTTGATCAAATTTTGGTGTTCCTAGAATTTTAAGCTGCAGATACAAATTCACTGGGACGGTGATCAAGGATGGAAGGACAAAACTGCACACTTGGGTGTAAAGTGTTCATGGGGCATAAACTACCAATATTTAGCAGAAGCTTGTCAGTGGCTGCCTACCTGGAACACCCCTCACCTATCTTCTAGGTATGCAAGCAAAAAACTTGATAAAGGAACATCTATGCAAAATCCAAACATGAAGTAGAGAAATACCCAACTACCTTAGAATACCAATTCAAAAAAAAACAATATTTTACTACCTCAGAATCAGCAAACGAGAAGAAATATTTCTTTATGGCATAAGAATAACCAAATAAATAAATTATAAACATTCACATGCCTTATAATTGCGTCAGATAACTGTTTTGACACAACCGGTGCCACCTCTGCTGGTCTGCCAGGCCTAACAATTGGAGAGCAAATTGGAGGCATGTGGAAATCAATAGCTGGAAAAAACAAGTAGTTTATCCATTAATATAAGGAGGAGGAGGAGGAGGATAAGAAAAACATAAGTTGAAGAGAACCAACCTACGGAGCCCTCGTCTGATGAGTCCAATGGAGGAGTCATAACTTCCAACTTGATTGCAGCCAACATGGTCTACGCATGAATAAAGCAATCAACCATTGAGAAATTATCAAATACCGAATGCACTTTGTGAGAGCAAATAAAGAAGAACGGAGAAAGGGATAAGGAGTAGAACAAGAAAAGAGAAGAAGAGAGAATGTACCGTGCAACCAATCTTCGCCATGGCTGACCCATCAGCAGTTGCCACAGCCCCTGGATAATAGAAAATGTTGCTCAGTAGAAATACGTACAGATGAATTTCAGAAGGAACACAGAAATAAATGAAGAGAAAAGAGACAAGTTTAGCAAACCAAGGGCCACAGTGGTATCTCTTGCTCTGCCAAGTGGCCTGGCATCAGGACGTACAGACTCAAGGAGATGGCGTTCATAGAAACGCAGAGGGAAGAGACGCCTAAAAGCATCCACCTCCATCTCCCCAGATAAATCTCCAGAGGCACCCGATGACCCCATTTTCCTTTACTTTCAAACCTTCAACAAGCCAACCTTCACCTTCAGAACTAACAAGTAGCTCTGCAAAAGCCAATAAATCCAGAACTTCATATCACTGAATCATGCAATATTCGATAGAAATAAGAAAGAAAGGGAAATGCACGAACCCAATAAGAGGACCTACCTCTTCCTCGTCTTTTCTCTTATTCCTCTCCGTCCAGTTCGGAAGTTGCAGATTTTCGAGAGTGGGTATTTCGTGTTTGATCAAATTCCAAAGGGCTTCTCTTCATTTTCTCGTTCTAAATTCTAAATGTAAATTTCCGAAACCTCCCCTAACATTTCTGATAGTATCTGAAATTACCCCCTAAAGTTTAGTAGGTGTTTTCTAACTCTCTTTCTTTGTTTGTGACAGCAAGGTGAAACTTGGGCGGGCTTGGCTTGGATTTTTAATCCTGGGGTGGGTTCGGGTCTAAGATGTCAGAATTTTTCACTTTTTGGGTGGGGCTCGGGTATATATATATATACAAACTTATTTGGGAATGGGAAAATCTATGATACGGAAATGATATGGTATGAAAAGAGTTTTGACCAATCAAAATTCACCCATAAATTTTGATAAATAACACCTATTGGCAATCATGTTTATGATTCTAGTTGATTGGTTAGAAACTTTTGCAGATATCATATCTTTTCCATATCATAGTCGAACCCAACTTATTTATATATACATTTGTATACACTAAGGAATATGTACGTGCATTTGCATGTGGCAATATTAGGGATGCAAACGGATCAGATTGGATTCGAATCAAGGTATATTCGAATCCAATATGACATTGTTCATGTTGGATCCGATCCAATTGGATATGATAGGACTCGATCTAAATTCGAATTCTACTAGATCTTCGGACCTAGTTTGATCCGACTTATTTTCTTTAAAAATTAATAAATTAATAAAAGAAAAAACGAAATATATCGATTTAAATAAAGAAAAAACAAAAATACAAGTATTTTTTAATTATTTTCATCATATATATACATGTTTTTATAAAAAATAAATAATACAACAATTTATAAAAATACAATATAAATAATATACTTATATATAAATAAATAGCATATATATGTATTATATATATTTATATTTATAAATATGTAACATATCATATCAAATCTTCTCGAATCCGATAGGGGTGATCTGATTCCGACCTGATTTCAAATCGGATCATAGGATCCGATCCGAAGATCCAACTAGGGGTGATTTGAATTCGACCAAATATGATCGGATCTCATATCGGATTGGATCGTGATCCGATCCATTTGCACCCCCTAGGTAATATCTCTAAGACAAAACTATTTATAATTCATGGACAATTTCTGAATAGTTATAAGTGGACAATTTATGGACAGTTATAAGTGGGCAGTTTTTAAAACGAGAGTAAAGGACATATATGCCCTCTTTATTATGTTCATTGTATGTTTAGAGAAGGGGGATAGAAAACGTTCAATGAAAACTCCATAAATAATGGGCATTCACTCTTTTATAGGGAGTAAAGATGTTTACCTATATATATACATATTTACATATATACTTAAATATCTATACTACTTATAAAAGTGTGAATGATGAGGTATTGACTTCTGACTTTTTCTTTACTAAAATATCCTTCCTCTTGAATTTAGTTCATCTCCATTAAAAGGGCAAAAAATGTAATTAAAAAATACCATTAATTACATTCAATTATCTCTCACTAAGCCTCAAATTTAAGTCATTAAATAAATCACATTCTCTCTTATTAAATCCAACATTTATACTTTTGTTTATCATCATTAAATTTCAGTAATAAAGCCATGCACGATAATTATTAATAGAATGAAATTTTGTATTTTAAAATAAACATATAAATGAAATCATATTTTTCATCTAGGTGGTGGGTAAGTAGTTCAACCATTTGGGTCAAATGGATAATTTCATGACATCATAAATAAATAATACAAATTTAGAAATTTAAAAAGTACTTTTGTTTATCACCATTAAATTCCACTAATAAATCTATACACAATAATTATTAATAGAATGAAGTTTTATATTTTTAAAATAAACAATAAAAATGAAATCATATTTTCCATCTAGGCCATGGGTAAGTACTTCAACCATTTGTTTCAAACGGATAATTTCATGATGTCATAAATAAATAATACAAATTTAGAAATATAAGAAATACAAAAAAATATAGCAAAAAAAAATTTTAAAAAATGGACATGTTTCTATTATGATATATTTTTTATATTAAAAAATAAGTATGATAAAATAGACATAATTTTATTAATGATGGACATCAAATATATATACAACTTAAAACCGATGGGAAATTAAACCATAAACCATCTTCATATCTAGGGAGTGGGTTAGTGGTTCAACCTTTCAAGTCAAATAGGTTAACCCATGATGTATAATTAAAAATATATTTTTTAAAATAGAATAGTACAAAAAATATGAAACAATTTTAGGCACATTTATAATATTATATAATAATAATAATAATATAAACAAAAATAAGTATGATAAATAATAATTATTTTATCAATGATATAAATGAAATGCAAAATTTAAACCAGTTTAAAAATGAAACAATTTCCATAGCTAAATGGTAGGTAGGTCAATGATCTAGCATTCTGGGTCAAAATGGGTCAATCTATGATGTCATATATAAGTAATGCATATATATATATATATATATATATATATATATATATATATAAACTTAAAGAAAAATATAAGCATTGTATAAAGCATTTTGATACAATTCTATTGTTATATATTCACATATTCACCATATTAAACAAAAATAAATGTGAAAATAAGAATTACTTTTATCGATAATGGAAATGGAATACATGATTTAAAATCAATCGAAAAAGCAAAATGTTTTTTCCATCCAAGTGATGGGTTAGTGATTAAACTATCCATGTAAAATGGGTGTTATTATTAAATAATAAAATACATAAAATTCTAGAAAATAAAGAAAATTGTCGATAATTTTGGGTACATTCTATAATATTATACATTCATCATATAAAAAAGTGTGATTAATGAAAATTATTTCCTTAATGATAGAAATGGGATAAAAATTAGGATAAAAAATAAAGAGCATTAATGTCTAACACATGAACCCACTAACCATGTCAAATGGTTCAATGATTTAATTAGATAGGTCATTGTAGGCAGGTGGTTTGGTAGGAATGCAAACAGATTGCATCGGATTTGAATCAATGTATATTTGAATTCAATTTGATCCAAAGATCTTATTGGATCTCATAAATATTGACTCAAATTTGAATCTGATCAATATGTTGGATATCCAAATATGATATGACCCAATTTAATTTAAAAAATAATAATAAATTATTAAAAGAAAAAGAAAATATAATAGTTGAAATAAAGAAAACCAAAAAATATAAGTATTTTTTCAACTATTTTCATCATATAAGAAGTTTACAAAAATGCAATATAAATAACATATTTATAAATAACATATATATTATATATAAGTGATATATATATATATATAATTGATTTGACAATAATGTTAAAAAACAATATTCAAACAATATATTGGAATTACATTTCCTCTTGGTAAAAAAGTAGTTTTTATTATCTCATAAATTATTGTTAGTAAATATAGAAATGGCTAAAATACAAAGAAAAAAAATGAATTAATGTCTTAACCATAGTCCATTTTCCTTGTTAAATAGGTTAATGGTTCAACTAGTAAGGTCATTTGGTTGCTGGCTATTATTATCATCATCATCATTTGATATTGCCACATGCAACGTGTGTACACTTTTACTAGTATGTATAAATATCTGCATAAATACATATATGTATAATTTTAGAATGGGTTCATTGACTAACCCGAGCCCAACCAGGGCTTGGGCCCTGAGCCCAAATTTTAGGGCTAGGCTTAGGTTGAAAATAAACCTGACCCAACCTGCTCGACTTGCACCCCTAGACAACATGGCATCTATACTACTTTATAATCTACAAATGGCAAAGGTAAAATTACAATAATAACATTAAAATTTGAATCGGCTTGTATTCATAAAGGCTCAGTGGAAGGAGTACAAATACATACAAAAAAATACAAAATACATATTTGTATTTGTACTCCTTCCTTCCAAACTGAGCCAGAACCCAGAATATCAAATGCATTCAAATCAAATTCAGGTTATAAACTTATAATTGGATATTAAATAGTATAAATAAATTAAACACAAAAAAATCAGTAGAATATTTCAGAAGAAAGCAAAAGAAATCAGAGAAGAAGAAGGAGATAGCAAGAAGAGGGAGAAAGATTGGAGAAGAAAGGAGAAAGAAAGGAGAAATTTGAATATCTCCTCTTTCCCCTACTCTAATCTTTTATTAGACTTACTTTAGTTACATAAATTACAAGGAAACCCTTAAATAGGCGTCCACATCAGCACTAAACTTAGAAAACATATATAAGAGCTAAAGGCCCATAATGAAAAGGCCCAATAAGAAAACATAACATGAAAGAACTAATAAGAAAGACACTAATGGGCTAGGGCTCATTTGGCCCAGCCTCTATACATTCCCCCTCAAGCTAAGCATAGATATCCATCATGCCCAACTTGCTTATATAATGAACCAACTTTCTTTAGGAACACCTTTTGTCAAAGCATCAACCAATTGTTCTCAAAAGCAACAAATGGTAGACGAACTTCTCTTGAGGCAACTTTCTCTTGTATAAAATGCTTGCCAACCTCAATGTGTTTAGTTCTGTCATGTTGAACAGGATTGTGTGCAATGTTGATAGCAGCCTGGTTGTTACAATATAACATCATTGGCTTTTCACAGTCTATACCCAATTCATCTAAAAGTGATCTCAACCACAAAGTTCGGAAACTCCATGTGCCATTGCCCTGTATTCCGCTTCAGCTGAAGATCTTGCCACTACAGACTGCTTCTTACTCTTCCATGATACAATGTTCACTGCTATCATAGCACAATAACTTGAAGTAGACCTCCTATCATCAATACATTCGGCATAGTCAGCATCAGTGTATGCTTCCAGCTTCATGTGTCCATGCTTAGCAAACAAGATGCATTTCCTTGGAGTCCCTTTTAGATAGCACAGAACTCTCTTAATAGCTGCTAAATGTGTATCTCTGGGAGAATGCATAAATTGGCTAATTACATCAATTGCATAAGAAATATCTAGCCGAGTCATGCAAAGGTAAAGTAACTTCCCAACTAGTTTTTAGAACAACCCCTTATTAGGC